CCCCCTGGCGGCTTTCCTAGGTACTGCAGCTGAACTTTCGGTTTCGATATCTCATGATCTGGACATGCTAGGGTCACGAATTTCGGTTGGTAGATAGCTCTTGGGGTAGGAAAGAAGTGACATGAGTTTGGGTCCCCTAGCGCCTTGTTCTGGAACTGCAGGAGCATTTGTTGAAAAAAAATTGAAGGACGATAACTCAAGAACCGGTTGACGTATTGTCGTGATTTTTGGTATGTAGGTATTTGAAGTTATGCGTGACATAATCAGATGGCAATTATATATATATGCAAATCAGGAGCTAATTTGCATAATTAATGAGGAAATTCTATAAATCTGCTTTGTTCGATAATAGAACTATGAAACACTTGTGACATCTACTTGAGAACGAGAAAAACATCTGAGGATATAGATTATGTAAATGAGGACCTAATTTGCATAATTAATGACAAATTCTTATAATTCCATAGTTGTAACTGCTGCACCCCTAATTTCATACTTGCCACATTTGGAAGTTAAGTGAAGGTGAACATAAATAAACATAATTTATTCAAATCATTTGCATAATTTATGTGGAAGTGCTATAATAGCCTTTTTGTTAAGATAAGGCTGTCATTGGGTGGAGAACATGATCAACTGATACAATCCATGCAGATGAGGCTCTTATTTACAAAATCAATGATTAAAATTGTGTAATTCATCAACCGCAAGGGTTAACATCATTTGGAGAAGGTATGAGATCGTGGAACTCTTGTTTATGTCATAATCTTGGTGGTAAAACTATTACCATGCATATGGGAGGCAGTAATAATAAGGATAGAATTACAAGTGTCGAGTTGTATATAGTACTACACAACTACACAATGGAGCGCACATATCACAAGAAAAACATGACCTAAATGATAAAAAAAATAGTTATACTAAATAACTGACTTTCGTGGAGTCTTCCACGACCGCAAATGCATAACGTGAATACAACTGCCAAACTACTTATGCATCTGTCGTAATACAGGATTCACACTACAAAATCTAAGATGAAACGTTATATGAGGCGACGCAATGTACCCATTTTAGGACAGATATCTCTTTTACTTTCATTTCGCACATGTTTTGGAGGCTACTATGACTTCAGTAACTGAGTTGAAGAGAATCTTATCGTCAACCACCGACGAATTCTGCTGAATGTACTCCAGGGCGGCTGCCCGCATGCCTGGCTCAGCAGACACGTCTGGAGTTTGAGTCAGGAAGTCTAGAAGCAACATCCCCGCCTCCGAGTCCTCCTTAAAACACTCCGCGACGTTCATCTTGATTTCATCCTCCGAAGTGACGTAACTGATGCCCATTTCATCGAGCCAGTGTTTGATGTCAGCGGGCGTGCCGAATGATGTGGTTGGACTGTCATGCTGGCCGAATAACTCCCGAAGCTTGTACTCCATCTTCCCCCAGTCACTCTTATTTGTGGATATGTATTACACACATACAAGATCTAGCATGTTTCAAAATATTTAAGGTCTATAAGTAAGTATATTTAAGCAAGCTCCAAGAATATCAATATAATACTATGAGGTGACGAAGGTTTGGAAGTTGACCTCTAACAGCATAAATAGCATGAGCGTGTATGAGAAAAGTGATAAAATGTCATTTTACATAATTACCAAAAGATCCATGTGTTCGAATCTTTGCTATAAAAAATTTAAAGTGAAAACCGCTGGATTACCTGACTCCATTCCGACCAACATGTAGTCACCGTCTGCCAGCTGTTCCCACATGTTCCGCAAGGTGGCGTAAAGATCCTCTACATAGTACAGAACGTGAAATGCATGAATTAGGTGGAACTTTGTGTCTGCCTTTGTCTGGAACTTCTGGAAGTACTCTTCTGCTGTCTGCTGGCGCCAGTCGCACTTCACAGCACTGAGGCTCGTGTCTTCACGTACCAGAGCCTGAATGATAGAAGGTAATATCGATGTCAATGACGCAAGGTACTAAAGGGAAAAGTATGTATACGTTTAACACTCTAGTTGCTAAAGTACTGGTACCTGTGTACATTGGGTATGGGATTAGGAAAGAGGGAAAGGTTAATGAATTGGCGGAACCACCTTCGTAATCATTTTGTAAGACAAAAATCATACCAAAAGAAACCTTTTGATAGAATAAACATAGACAATGCATGGGCAAAAGCAAAGTATCATCACTTCATACAAACTGTACGCCGTACCTTGTATCGCCCGATCATTTCTCCCGACGGTTCCACAACCCTGTTGTACACACTGTCGTGGCGCTGTAGGAGCTTTTTCAGAATGTCGCTGTCAGTCTCTCCTACAAGACAAAGTGTTTATGATAGGCAGTATAAAACGTAACCAAGAAACAATCCCCTATTAAATATTCAGAATTTTGTCATTTTTATTTTGTCATATTCATTATGAAAATATAAGGTTGTAATTAGCATAAACTATTTTTGTATTCTCTACTTAAATTACATATATGATATGTGTATCCTTTTAATAATCACATTGATCAAAGCGACTTTTAATCACGAATATCATAATCATCAGATTTCGTCCCATTTGTTTTTAAGAAAGGATAGTTTATTTCATCTTGCTGTAGTACTCCCTTGAATTTGAATGGAAATGTTCCCGTTGCTTTAATTTTCCTCTGATCTACTGAAACGATTGATAGGTAATTTCTAGTAATTTGATGGTTCCATGTATACGTTATCTTATACTATGTAATTAAAATACATCGACCTGGGGTGTTATCTCATCAAATCATGGTGTATTCCAGTACATTTCACTCTTTAATGTGTATCCAGCTGCAGACAAATAGACTGACATGGCCCAATATGGCGTATCACGCACCTGATCCACTCCCTATGAGGCTATCCCCAGCACACACAGGTCGGCTCCCGGCTCACACAGGACAGAGTCTGGAAACATTCCTCCAAAAGACTTGTAGTTGTCGTCTGTTTCTGTCTCATACGTGGCAAGAAAGGCTCTAAAACCTGCCACGTACCGTTCTGGAGAGAGATTCAACAGCCTTCCGACCTTCGACATTCCTGCAAGGGTCAAATATTACCTCCTTGTTAGGGTGTAATTATCTCACCAACAAACCTGTATATATACGTAACGTTACATACTATTAGGTAAATGTTCAATATATCGGAATGATTTCTTCATTTAAACGCCATTTAGGGACGGAAGTCTATTAAACATACACGTAAAATCAAGCGGAGGTTAAAATACCTACCCGTTCTATGATGTTGCGCTCGTGTCCCAGATCACGGACGGTGTCCTACATTGTAGATCTCGGTGGCCTTCGCAGCTGCCGGTCCTTGTTATCACATGACGATGTTTCGTTTGATTACAGCATATGCTGTGCATTTGGACACCAGTGTAGAAATTACAAGTTCCCACGTTCAATAAATTGAGCAAAATGAAATTTAATCATGAATCATACATTCTCATAATAATTGGACTATTTTTTGTGTCTGATCGAGAATTACTCATTTTACCAGTACGATTAATAGGTTTTGAATAAACAACAATAATCTGACAAGTCTCCAACGATCACTTTAATTACATCAAGTTCTGGCGATGCAGTACATTTTGCTCAACGACGTCTGAATTCGTCTTTCTCCTTGTAGTATGAAACATTTTTTGTCGTGGTGAGTCCCTCCATACCTCCCAGCTGCAACGTATATCATTTACTTTGATCTCTAACAGTAGCCTGGGTGCCATCCTCCGTAGTTTTTGCCCGCTCCCTAATGTCGCTCCGTGGTAGCCAGCGACATTAGGGAGCGGGCGAAAACTACGGAGGATGGCACCCAGGCTACTCTGACCCGTGAGTTCATTTCACTTTCACCTCTTCATATATACTTGAAACGAACCTTTATCTAGAAGAACCCTGTGTGTCTATCACAAATTAAGGAAGGGAAGACGAAAAACACGAAGCAGAGAACAAAGAGCAGAAACTCTGTTTAATATAAAATAGCTGTTAACAAAGACCAGGCCTGTCTTATAGATAAACATAGTCGAATTATTTTACCCATATAGTAATTTGTATGCTAGTATTCAGAAACATTTTTACGAAATAAAAGGGTTTACTTTGCAAAAGTTCAAATTCGTTTAAGTTCTTACAAAATTTTCCCCATGTTACGGCGCGTAACATATGATTTACCAAACGTTGTAAAACATTTAAGGGACGTAACCTGGCAAAAGATTGAAAGGTCCATGGGAAAACACGATAGTTTAGGGTAAATGATCTGTCACGTTAAACAAAGCACGGAGGAACCTGTGGCTGTAAACAAGACAGTTGTCAACAACCTTTCAAGAGCGTCAAACAAAACGGTACATTTACGTATGCATTCATGTCATGCCATGCCGATATTCTTACACTGGGTGGAGGGTGCTACGTCGACATTTTTGGCTTGGCCTGGGTGCGTAAAGCTGGCTAAAAAGTCAATGCTACTCTTTTTAAACATCTTATTCCTATATCAAGCATAGTTTAATTTTTCAGACATTAAGCATAGTTTTATTTTTCCGGACTTGTAATTGTCCAAAAGCGTGGTTTAGCTCTGTGCCGGGCGTGCCTTAGTTAACCGTCGACGTCGCATGAAGATCTGGTCGGTCGGTAGAGGCGCCCGGTGTATGGGATGTCGGTGTGACCTGCTAGCCCTGTAGAACAAAATAGTTTCCTGTCATTCAACCATGAAAAATGATTATTACCATTTTACTGCACATTCATACGCTTCACACTTGGCCATGAAAGTGTTCGACATTGTGAGTGACATTGATACGTATGATCAACGTTTAACTTCAGATTGTGAAGGCAGCCTAAATGAGGCTCGCGATTTCATCTCTTCAAACTAAAACTTGAAACATCAAAACCTCAAATCATTTTCCAGTTTAGACACAACCGTTAATGATTGATGGTGATAAATAACTTTTGGAGAAAGGTTCGAACTGGAGAATCCAAGAACCAAGTAATGCATGCGCCAAAAAGCAGTCACAGAATTACTGTTTACAAAATCGACATACATTGTACACGTTACAGTTTTTTTTGCACTTTTAAAGTTGATTTATTGCTTAGTAAGGGACTTACACATTTGTCCACCAAAGTGCAGGAACATTTGCTGGTGAAGCCGGACAGCACGTTACAGACGGAACCGTCACTGTTAGTGCAGTGCAGGGCTTTGTTACAGGCGATCTTGCGCCCCTGGAAACACAAAGACACACAGGCTTTAAAAACTTTTCAAAATGTCCTGGAGGGCTGGTTTGTGATTATATCTACTAGTAATCTCCTAGCAGATCTTTCTGTGGCGTAAAGACAGTATGACCAGGCAGTGTCCATGAGCCACCGAAACGTCTGCTTGGAGATTACTTATGTCTTGATATTAAATGCATTAGATGAATTTTGGTAAATCGGCTGTAGGAATAGGCACTGCTGAAAGGGCAGCTAGTTTCAGGAGAGTAGCATGGGACGACTACAAATTGTACATGTCCACACTATGCCTGGGCGGTTTGGGCCGTGGCAAATCCTAACATTGTCAATTCGCATCGTGAAAATTTTAAGGAACACAGCTATAACTTATAGTCATATTTTCTTGTCATCATACAGTTAAGGTCCCTGATTGTGCTGATATCCTATCACAACACCTACATGCGCTAAAAATCACAGCAAAGGTGTGTACTGTATGGAAGACGGACACAGCTAATAAAACATCCTGCAAAGGTACCGAGTGTTCACAACCAAGACTAACATCGGCAGGAAATGTTACGTCATGGCGAGCGTAAGTCACAGTGTTTAGTACGCCTTGGGTGGAAGTCACAGGAATAACAAACGTTTCTGTAGTCGGAAATGTTAGCCTCCATAGCATGCCAAAAACTGGGGGTTTGGGGGGCAGTTGGGGGGTCTTCAGGGTCCTCGGGAGCTTTTATGTGCTATTTTCGGATTGCATATAGACAGCATAGCCGGCCTGGTTGAATTACCCCCGTTTTTTTGTACTGGGCTAATCAGAAAACAGCCGAAGACCACCAAATCCCCAGCTACAAGCCTGCTATGGAGGCTGCGGAAATGTAACGTTAGCTACCATAGGTCATACAAATCCAGTTTGGGCCAGTCATCCGTTTCCATCCGGTGGAAAGGGGACATAAAGTGGCTGCCACACAGCAGGAAAGGAGCTGGCTCCGTCATGTATCAGTCGGTATAGCTTTAGAAGAACATTTTCGGCAGCAAAACGTACGCCCAGCTGCGGTATCCTGCGATCATGCACTAATTTTCACAAATGATCGGTCGACATATGTTCGAAATCGCAGGTCACCGAGCTCCGGATAGGTCCAATGTAACAGGGTAGATTATTAGGTGATAATTACAGTAGTGCTCTCAATTCTCTGGCAATTTTTGTTTTAATTCTGCGACCTTAAGAAATTCGGTTGAAGGTGGTTGTCTGTGTGACGGCCCCTTAAGAAGAAAAGTGGACGCTTTTAATGACAAGGTTCGTGTTATGTTACGCGTACTTAGTCTTCGGTTGTACACACTGCGTCCGTGTCTGGCACACCTGCGAGTCAGATTTCTACTACAAACATTGCGACACTAAACAATGGCCTAACAACGTAATCCGATTTGTCGTCGATCCGGTGTTTTACTCATAGGTTGACAGTAGAAAGTTTAAGTCATGTCAGCAAACAGTTGTGCCGACTAAAGTACAATTTTCAGCTTCCATCACTGCACGAAAAGTTGGATTTACCAAAGGTTGTAAATTCAGGTAATGTTTACTATGTACACAGTATCTGGCTTTACAATGGTAGCAAATAACGATCAAGTGCAGTAATTTCCTTTACTTGTTAATTCCGGTATTACCGTACTTGACCTTTACTTAAAAAATAAAGTAAACATTACCCAACTATACTGGTATCAGTAAATCAAGTTTTCGTGCAGTGCATGGTATTTGGAATTTAGACCATCTCAAGTTGTCCTTGATGTGGTCTTTTTATAAGAATGATTCATAGCCCTGTATGTTACAACAGTCCTCTTTTTAAACTAACTATACTACCTCCCGTACTTATGTGAGTACAAGGGGCGGCATAACTCACAATTCGGAGCCCATCTATAAAGTATGAAATGTTTCAGGTGTATCCACGAAATTGCCCGCGAAATTGGTATTGCGACCTGAAATATGAGTATGCACTAAAAATTCTGGCGCAAAATAAGACTTAGAATGAAATAAAATGTACTTGTATTCCACCTTCTCCGCGAATCTAGCTCCAGTCTGGCACATTCGCCATTACTCAGTATCTTTGCTCTTTGTATGGCTAAATTTACGACCTTGCCCTTTACAACAAGGGATGTTTTGATCCAAAATTCCATCACGTTTGTCAGATGCGGTCGTGCATGTAGATGTGGGAGTTGGATGGATGTCAAAAAACATTACTTTGACAGCCATTCTTCCCCGTATCCTGTCCCACGCTTAACACAGAAGTTGTTTTGACAGCCGCCTGACGACAAAGTCAACGGTAGAGACGGGTGCGTAAACGAGATATTGTTCTGCCAAGCCCGTGAACAAGGCAAGGTGTGTCAACGTCACTTGACGACTCTGTAAGCCGTGTACGCGTGGACACAGATTGGCGAAACGAACATGATCATGACACTTTACAGACTTTCTGATAGCTTCGTAACTTTCTCCAGGCTGCTGAGTAGACGTTTTGCACCAACTTTGTATTGGTGATAGGGAACTTAGTTGACACAACAAAAAGTACAGCGACGTTCGTAAAGTCTAAAACTGCATGTAGACATACAGACAGATACATGGGTACAACGAAACATGTATCATGTACGGCCTTTGTAACCAGGTGTAGCAGTTTCAAACTGGCCCACCGGAAATTTAAGACCCCGTTTTCAGTCTGATCTGGGCCTTTCAGGAGAAAAAAGTTTCGTTTTTAAGATATGCTCGAGCTCCAACTTTAACACTACGAACAGGTGTCAAACAGATGTGATGCGGGCTAAAGGTAACCCTTATATGGCAGAGCTACTTCGTAATTTGTCTGCAATCTGAGGGATCGACAACAAAGGAAAATGTACCGATGAAATAATAAGAACTGGAAGATCACTGGATGTGCGTTAATACGCCGCCCGCTCAGGCCATACAGGCACAGACAGTGCAGGCCTTTACTTTAGGGCTTCCTTGCCGTAAGGTCCCCGCACCTCCCCCTCCCCCCTCAGTGATACCCCTTATGGGGTTGTTAGAGGGTATTACCGATGAAGACGAAAATGAAGACGAAATCTGAAAAAAAAAAGAACGGTGCCATAGAAGACAGAAAATATAACGTTAGTGTATCGCTGCCTTACCGCCGGTGCCGCGCTGGCCAGACCACTGACCAACAGAATGGCCATCACTAACACCACCGCAGTCTTCATCCTCTCTCCGCACTCGGACTTCTCTCTCTTCTAGCGCCCAGAATCAGGAGTCGTTTCTACCGTTTGTCTCCTGTCTCGCTACACGGACAGAGTGGTTCTACTCCAGTTGTGTGCCGGCGTTTAAAGAAGCGGTTTTGTCCAACTTCCAGCCACCCGGCACTGAGTAAAGAGTGACGGCTCTCCGTCTAAATTAGTCAGGGGCGCTGACACGTCATGCCATGCTAATGTTGTTCTGAGAAGAAAAGAAGAAGCTTATTTGATCTCATCCTGCCGTGTTCATTTACATAAATGTCAGCATTGCGTGGAAAACGTGGTTTGGAAACAATAGGATGAGTCTACATATATCTGTTGATCTGACCTTAAGTAGGTCAAGTGTATCTCCTCTTCGCCTTACAATCCAGGTGGAATAAAGACATGCCTTTGTGTACAACATTTCTTGGGCTGGTGCTCCGAAGTACAAAGTAACCGCTCAATATCATAACTTACCACCTGTAATTCACTGTTGACGTCACGGGTTGCCATGGTGATGACGTTACCAACAGTGTGATGATTGACATGAGGGCGGGGCTTGTTCAACTGTACCTTTGAAGAATTACATAGTTCTGTCTAGTATTTGTTCCGTCGTCAAGACGTCGATTGTTAACTGACCTTTTTCCATAATCACAGAAGGTTATGAGGAGTCACGTCTGTGAGTTTCAAAGCGATGCAGCTGAAGTGACATATGGGGCACGCCATTGTCCCATGTTCAACGGTCTAAGAACACAAACCCACGTTTTACAAGTAGGCAAGATATACGTGAAAGAGCGAGTGAGTGAGCGAGTGAGTGGGTGGGTGAGTTGGTGGGTGAGTGGGTGTGTGGGTGTGTGTCTGGGTGGGTGGTGGAGTGTGAGAGACTGTATGTGTGAGTGAGTGAGTGTGTGAGTTAGTGAGTGAGTGAGTGAGTGTGATATTTAACTACGAAAAGATTCAAATAAAAGGTCATGCCGCCCAAGCTTCAGAGTGCAGTTATCGCACTGTACAAACCATATATTCACTATAACCCGGGCTTGTGTGGGCGAGACTCGGCATTTCTTGAAGTTATCTATAGTATGTGTATAGCTAATCTCTGTTTACATAACGCACATGTGGCGGCCAATTAAAAAAGCAAGGAGCCGTGAGCCCCATCACTTGGACTGACTTGTGGTGTTGCAAACAAAATGTTGCTGTAAATGACAACATAACGAACGGCTAGTACTAACTTAGGGTGTACTTCATTTACTTGTTTCTTCGTATAATATGGACCACGCGTCACCTGACTTACGCTTTCTACATCTATCATGATAATTCATGCACAAAATTCACATTATCGAACAATTAAAAGGTTTACCCCCATCTGCTGATCGTACTTTTATCCGAACCAATACCGAGCTCAGCCGAACTTATCCGACTAGCTGACGAACCGGGCCGAATGCATGGATCGTCCATTATGATTAGTAGCCAATACTAGTAACCATTGTTATAATTGTTGAATTGATTGCTATTAATGCAACCACGAATGCGTACATAGAGCCTAACGTTTGACGAAAGGGTGTCGCACTAGCTAGTTATTATAATGATAGGACAGATAACAATGGAATACCGAAGGGCGTATTTTTTTTCAGACAGAAAGTCACAGTCGCTGACATTCGTCTTTTATGTGTATGTTTTCAAGCATACACGGGTGATGACGCACATGTTCTGCTTCTTGGCGCTCTGATACATTTGAACCGACGCGGACGTCATGCCAAGGAGGTTCCATTCACTGAATGGTGAAGTTCAACTTACTAGTACTTAGTTGTTGCAGTTCATTCAGATTTCGCTAGAGGAGTCTTTTGTGATTTCAACTTTCGTCCATTCGTCTACTATTCCATCAACCTATCGGAGTCAGGGTGGTAGAGACTATTGACTAACGTCATGACATGGATGTTGATGTACATCTTTATCACCCAGACAGTTCATCTATATTGATATTTTATAGATGCCTTGGGAACATGCAACAGAATATGGCTTCTATATCTGTAATAACACTAGGTCGGTAATTGGATGAAGACCTTGGGTCTTTGGACAATTGTTAAAAATGAGACTGTACAATTGTCCAAAGACCCAGGGTTTCATGGTCTTCACCCAAATAAAACAAAAATATGTAGCTATAGTTTCTGGAGGTCTTGTTCACTTGTTTGTTACCTCGGGCAAGGAGATATCCTTCCGCGGGAAGGTATTGTCTTAATGGTGCTTGTGTACAACTTTTTTTTCAGCATTTTGAACATCAGTAGTGATCACAAATACTCATTTTGAAATGCCTGGTTGTCATTAATCACAGGAGGTGGTACAGACCTATCATACCGGGTTCCAAAGGTCCAGAATAAGAAGTGCATAGAATATCTTTTCATTATGTGTATGCGTATATGTACTGTCTGTATGTGAGTATTGATCTTTATAATATCTGGTAATTGTTGGTAAGTTAGATTAGATACTAGTAATGGGTCGCCCAGACTTTTAAGGCACTGTGGCAGCAAGGCTTCCAGTTTTAAATTTGCTATTTCGTGTTCTGGACATGCTGTTGTCATGATTTTTCAAAGGTAGAAGTTCTATATGATATTACATACCCCTTACATACACTAGCAGTAGTCTGCACAAAAATATAGTAGGCCTGATTACCACATGCAGATAACCACATGTGGTGTGCTTAATGGACCATGATGTTAGATGTTAGACGGCAGTTGAAAATACATGCCATGTTTTTCTTACAGTGCCTACCTACATAACTGTTAGGTTTGTTGTTAGAAATTTAACAAGAGAATCTAACAGTACAAGGATCACTGATTACCACATGTAGATAACCACGTGATGTGCTAAATGGTGTTAGATGTTAAACGAGAGTTCAAAATGCATGTCATGTTAGGAGTTTATAATAGTGAGAAAAGTATGCTTCTCATGTTTTCCTCAGACCTGCAGCGAGGTAAGTTTACTGAGCTCTACCAGAGATGCGGGAAAGAGGTTGAAAACCAATGAATTCCCCTGGGAATCAATGTTAGGTTTTCTGTTAGGTTTTGAAATGCACCATGGTTTGCTATGTCCAATTCCTTGCCATATACTGTATAAGGTACTAAGTTACTTATTCCTGCCTGATATCGATGGCGAACTGTAAATACAACCAGTACAGAGCAATCGAGGTCACTGTGGTAGGGCCATAGGAGCATATATATATGGCCCTACCACAGTGACCTCGATCGCTCTGTACTGGTTGTATTTACAGTTCGCCATCGATATCAGGCAGGAATAAGTAACTTAGTACCTAGCTGCCACATACGTGAGAGGTCAGGTGCTTAGGGCTCGGGTTAGGGTGAGGGTTGGCATTAGAGTTAGAGTCAGGGTTAGGGTTTGAGTTGGGATCATTGTTCAGGGCTAGGGTTAAACTTACGAATGAGGTTTGGTTCATATATGATAAGGTTCTCATATCACGACTTAACCCCACCCACCCCTTGTCTCAGGTATACTGGAAACCCCCAAGTAGTGTCGGAGTCCTGTGTTTGGCAGGATCGTGTATCTGGCTTGACACCGGTTGGGCAGGTACATCCATTGTTTGGAAATGACCTTTGACATCCCATGTGAAACTGGAAATGGGAATGACGCATACTAAGGTTTCGCTTGGCAGTCTGTTTTTTAAGTTTTCAGCTTAGTGACGGGCAAACAAATATCCAGCGGAAGCGTCTGTATCCACAGGCGTCTACGAACCACATGTAAGTACTGCTTTCATTTGACAAGCTGGGGAAGGGGTTTCATACTCAACAGTACGATGGGTAAATGTCCTACCGGGGCAAGGTTTTAAATTATTAGCGATCTAGCTATGTAGCGAAGTGATGTAGAACAGTTAAAAAGTTTGAACTTGGCATGCAGTTTTTCTTTGAACTGTCAAACCTTAAACGTACTGTAGATATCTGATATTTGCTTATTAAATCGTTGTTAGTTTCACCTTCCATTTTCCGAACTAATGCAGCATACATGTTTAGGAGCATTTACCAAAAACTTTAGACACCAATCCTGACAGACCAAGTGTGCAATATTTAACTTCAATCAGAGCTGCTGAGCTATGATAACACTGAAGCAGAAGCACCTTTTACATTTTCAGCGCCAAAGATGTCAGAAGAAAAGCTAGACGCTTTCCTAAAAAAGAAAGAGAAGAAGAAGAAGAGAAGATTTAAAACATTTAGTGACGATGTAGAAAGGGTGACCAAGCCTCCTGCACAGCCCATTCCTCCAGTGCAACAGGATGATCCACAGCAGGAAGAAATGGGAGCAGTGGGAGGACAAACGCAGAAGGTATATATTAAGTCATTTGTTGAGCATTTAATTTTAGCATTTCATTTCTCCTGCAACATGAGAGAACAAAGCAAGAGAGTGCCTTCATAGTTTGGGGTCGGCTGTTACTTTTGACAAGACGGTTGTATATGTTTTCGGTGGCGTTTATATTGGTAGGTGGGTAGGTCTTGATGAGATATTGAAGCGGTTAGATTTTGGGCCTCCTTGTAGCTTTTTATGGTACTGCGGCAAAACTTGATATCTCGTTATCTGGACATGCTAGAGTCACGAATTTTGGATGGTAAGTAGCTCTTGTGCTCGGGAAAAAGTCACGAGAGTGGACTGAAGGAACTGAAGGGGCGTTTGATTACACATTTTTTGAAGGAGGGGAACTCAAGAACCAGTTGACAGATCGTAATGATTTTTGGTACTAAGGTAGGTAGCTTAAGTTATGTTTGATGAAGATAAGACTTGATAAGACTGCTCACGGATGGAGGACAGAGATTAGTGGAGAAGAAGAACCCATTGTTCCCTGTGACGACATCGCTGATGTCCACGTTCAAGGTTCAATGTTCAAGATAAGACTGCCATTGGGTGAATATAATCAATTATTTCATTCGTTCATTAGTTTGCATACTCAATGAGAAACATTTATAATTTGTCAGTCATAAAGGTTAACATTATTTGTATAAAGGTATGGTATAGTGGAACTCTAGTTATCATTTACATGTATGTTGTATCACTATCAGGTAAGCTTATACAGGCTACTGGTACATGTATTTTATCACCTTTTGCTTTTCTTCATGTTGTATCGGTCAATACTCACAAAATGCGAACAGCTCATTTACCTGACATTCAGACATACTTCAATCTCTGTTTAGTGTAGACAATTCATAATAGACAATTAAGTATACCGTAGAAACTAAACATTGCACATAATCAATCTAATGCTTATGCAAACTAGTTTATGTACTGAAAAAAAAAGAAAAATGTACGACACAGCGTTTCCTACGTAGCTATGCTGATTGTAAAAAGCTGATCCACAAGTAAAAATAAACGCTTGCCACCAATACAAAGAAGAAGCATATAATAAATCACACAAAATATCAACTTAGTCAGGCTCTGAAGTAAAATAATACATTACTTGTGTTGTTGCTCATATGATAGACACAGTTGAAAATGTTGAGAAAGGTAAATTTCACTTTATTCTTGCAAAGATAGTACAACTGTGATCATGACTGTCACTGAGTTCTCATCACAATCTGTTTTCAGGAGGCTCCCGCAGAGCTTCACTCTGAGAAGGGGACCATTCACCCAGTTTCCAACTGGTCAGTCGATGAAGTCTGCAGTCTGATAAGCAAACTCAGTACTGACGAAATCGCAGAAACCTTCAAAGGTATGAGAGCATTTGGAACACTAATGTTTTAACAACAACGACACATGATATAGTTCGTAGATTTTTTTGAATGAAACATTGGTCTGCTGTTACAGTAGAAACTTATATTTGGAGGGACGTTTTATCATTTCAGATGAAGAAATAGACGGAGAAGCTCTGTTAATTCTTGATGAACTTAACCTTCAAAGAATGATCCCCAAGACCGGGCCAAGGCTTAAACTGAGCAAGGCCCTGGCAAACTCACTCATTGAGTTGGTGAGTTGAATCTTTGCGTTGCTCTTCCACGTTTATACACAATGTTGTACATATTTGGGAATCCTGAGAAATTATGAACATTCTGAAGTTATCTGTTTTATTAAACGACCATTGGCAAAAAGGACAAATCGTAAAATCGTGTTCCTCTGTAAACTTCAATATGGCGAGTTTAGCAGATCCGGGAAATTTTATGCATGGGGGGGGTATGGATATAGTACTAATACGTGTGTGCTTTCAATGGCGATGTACTATGTGTCAGCCATAAGATTTTTTTTATATGCATATGAGCAACTTTATGTTTGTGGGTAATTCTGTGTAAGTCCGTGCCAATTACGGTGCAGAGAATGAGATTTTTTTAGTAATTCAGGACTCAGATAATTTAGGAATCTTTACTTCCCTGCCTTGCGTATTGATTTGTGACATGTTGTGTTGCTTCCATAGAGCAATCGAGAACTTGATGCATCTCACCAAAAATCATCAAGCACGTCTGAGAAGGGGGGCCTTTACGTCTTTGTAGATGACTCCAACATATGGATAGAGGGGAAAAAGGCAGCGGTTAAGCAAAAGAAGCTCGCTTGCGACGAAGACCCACGTCTTAGAATTGAGTATGGTAACTTTATTGATGTATTGTCAAGCAAGGAACGTCAAATGTCCAGTGTCATAGAGATTGCAAACATGTATGGGTCTATACCACCTCCCAATGATTCTTTGTGGGATAAGATGAAGGAGAAGGGTTGGAAAGTGGACTTAAAGGAGAGAAGTAAAATAACTGGAAAAGAGAAAGCTGTTGATGCTCAACTTATGGTTGATGCCACCTCTTTTGCTGAACAAAAGAAAGACACTGGAGGGACTATTGTTCTAATTTCTGGGGACAAAGACTTTATTCCACTTATTAACAAAGTTTTGGAGTATCCAACTTGGAACGTAGAGGTATGGATGTGGGAGCATGCCCTTTCCACTAGCATCAAAGATCTGGCGAAGACTCGTGATAGGATTATGGTTGAGAGCCTTGATGACCACATTGAATCGATGACATTCACTGAGTATAGGTTTGATTGGAAACAATGCCATCCGTCCACACTGAATAAGCAGGCCTATGTACTAAAGGGGGCTATGATGAGCTATGTAAACTCAACATGGGTCTATGCAATGGAGCAAACGTTTCCCTGGCCTTACCAGTATGACTATAATTGGTTCCGAGAGAGGGGGGATTTGGTTGTAACATTCTCACCTAGAAATGAGGAGAAGTTCTCAGACCGCTATTTCACAAAGTCCATCAACAAAGTCAAGAGAGAAAGGCAGCTTAACTGCAATGTCACAGAGAGGTCATTCGATGTTATCACTTTTCATGAGTATAAGCAAACGCTTTCCCCTGAAGAAATGAAAAGGACCAAGAAACAGAAGACGGTGTCCTCTGAACGGTGCCGATACAAATTTTGGTGTCACCATGGGTTACGTTGCTCCTCCACTCACAGTGAACGCGAAAAGGAGCACTTTAAAAAGCGCAAAAATCATGACCCACGATACAAAACACAATTGTGTCGCTACATTCAGACACACAAATTCTGCTATAACACAGACTGCCGCTATGCACACGGAGAGGATGATGCTATTTGCAACAAGTGTTATGACAAAGGTCACTCAGAAGGTAATTGTCAGGCTATGTAGAATGAGTGTTCTTGGGAGGTGGGGGTACTTTTGTGCTTGTGTTGTAAGAGATCTACTTGACAGTTAAGTCAACAGTCAAAAGTCAACAGTCAAGATAACACGTGGCGGTTAAAATAACATTTCTTTTACATTATAACAATTGTCCAAAGACCCAAGGTCTTTAATTATCCAAATATAGCAAAAAGATGTAGTTTCAGAAGGTCTTGTTCACTTGATTGTTGCCTCGGGGAAGGAGATATCCCTCCGCGGGAAGGTAATGTCTTAATGGTGCTTGAGTACACATTGGTTTTCAGTATATTTTGAGCATCAGTAATGATCACATAGACTCATTCTGAAATGCCTGGTTGTCACTAATCACAGGAGGTGGTACAGACCTATCATGCCGGGTTCCAAAGGTCCAGAATAAGCAGTGCATAGAATATCATGCTATTTTAATGTAACGCAAGATGATATGGTCTCCATATGTATTTGCTAGAATTTTGTATTCCCTTACCCAACTACTAATAAGTATCTAATACCAGCCCCAAAAAAGAACACGAAATAGTCCTGACTTCAAGTACCAGAGCTATTAACTTATGATTGAGATGTTCAATAATCCTGAAACTATCGCAGAGTGGAGCTCACTGCCACCAAGTGCAGTAGGGTGGCCTCACTATAGGTGGCTTTAAACAATGTTTAGAGTTATATGTGCAAAGGTTATGTGTAACAAGTCTTTCGGTGCATCATACTATAAAGCCAGCTGCCGTCGAGCCCCGTGCCTGCGAAACTGGTGTTTAACCGGCTATACCGATACACAAATGTACATATACAAGTATCCAGTTGTAATGCCACTACCAATATGACAACGGATCAATTTTCGACTTAATTATAATGCGTAACTGTGTCCACTTTTCATTATGTGTATGCGTATATGTACTATCTGTATGTGAGTATTGATCTTTATAATATCTGGTGATTGTTGGTAGGTTAGATTAGATATTAAATGGGTCGCCCAGACTTTTTAAGGCACTGTGGCAGCATGCAAGGCTTCCAGTTTTAAATTTGCTATTTCGTGTTCTGGACATGCTGTTGTCATGATTTTTCAAAGTTCTATATGATATTACATACCCCTTACATACACTAGCAGTAGTCTGCACAATGATAGCAAACAAACAGAAAAGCACAATACAACGTTGTGTTATTCAGCATCATGGTCATCAAGCTTTGACCATCAAGCTTTAATCTCATGCATGATACAAAGTTGTCAGCTTCTCTTAGGATACAATATAGAAGTTTCTATAGAAATATCTGTATAAAAATAAGTCTTTGGAAGTCACTTCCCACTTCTGGCTTTTCTTGTCTGAAAGGAAAGATAAAGAACAATGTGAGACAGTACTAAATGGCTATTTACACATTTATGTTAGGTAAAGTATTTTTGATACTTTGCATATTGACAAATGTGCTTCATATGTGCTCATTCATGTGAACAGTGTGTGTGTGTGTGTGTGTGTGTACATGTGTGAGTATTTGTGTATGTACGTGTGGTGTGAATTTTGTTAGTTTGTTTATTATATATATATATATATATATATATATTGCAATTAAAGGGGTTGGAGGGTTGAAGAAATCTTGCTAACCACAATACAGCCTCAATTAGAACAATGTGTCAGCATACCACATCAACAAACAAAACCAGTGTTACTAACCACTACTCCAGCTCGTCATCTGTGTCCTCTTGTCTGAGCCAGCAGCAGAGCTTCCTCCACCACTTCGTCTTCCTGCTGGAGCCTCTCTTCTTTCCTACAAGTTGAACAGAAATATTGACATTCCGTATCATCACAAAGTATAATCTATGCATCAATAAGGTCTCTGTTGTCTAATAATCTAACAGTTGTAAATACACACACCAGAGCACTGGATACGTGAGAATTAGAGCATGTTCGGGCTGATAAATATCTGTCCAGGTCATCTGAAAATTGTCGGTTGCGCTACACAGTAGGTAACGTTATATCCGTGGTACTGAAGGTACGTCCATCAGTTTGAAGTCAAGTCTGTAACAGTGAGGGGTGAATAGGGGAGAAATGAGGAGAAAACTGTTGTCCTTACCTCTGATGTATTCTGATTGATTTGAAGAGAGACTTTCCAGCTGCAGGTCCACGTCGTCGATGCTGGCGTCTTCCTCCCCGCAGTTGGCGTCCTCCTCCTCCCCGCAGTTGGCGTCCTCCTCCTCCCCGCAGATGGCGTCCTCCTCCTCCTCGCAGATGGCGTCCTCCTCCTTCTCGCAGATGGTGTCCTCCTCCTCCTCCCCGCAGATGGCCTCCTCCTTCTCCTCCTTCTCCCCGCATGGCCCCCCTCTCCTCCTCCTCCTCGCAGATGATGTCCAACCGACTGCGGCAGGTGTCGTCCTCCTCCCCGCTGTCGGACTCACTGCCGCTGTCGGACTCACTGCCGCTGTCGGTCTCGCTATCGATGTCGGACTCCTCTGCTTGCAGAACATCATACTTACCTGGGGTAGATCCATCACGGTCGGAGTCACAGCTGATGTCGGGAACACGGAACTCGGGGTCGGGTGACGGCGAGTCTTCAACAGGTGAGGACCTGGCGCAGTACCCGGAGGGGCGCGGCGGGGTTCTCACCTGCGCGATGAACAACTGGGCCAGCACCTTCAGATTCAGATTCAAGGTTCAGATTCAGATATATATTTAATATCGACTGGCATGTCACATTAATTGCATAAAATATTTCGAGTATTTACAACTTGTGTCCAATTACTAGTATTACTAATAGATAGCATAAAACCCTACATATATCTGCATCATTAGCGATAAAAATACGTCATAAAAACCTATCACATCAATGAGCACAATAGCTAAGCATTCTAAAATCAGTATTACCAGAGAAGAATAACATCATAAAGCCACTATATATACAAAGATCAGGTCTTCGACAATAGCTTTAGCGCACGAGGTACAAAAGACTGTTCGTGTCTTTTCGTTTTACTAGATGTAGAGACAGTGGTTTACCTCTGCGCAGGTTGTAATTACATTGTGTCGGAGTGGATACAAAATCAAGCAGAGGACTATCAGCATCCTTAAAGATGTTCTGAAGTGTACGCAGAGTGACCTGATCTCGCCTTGTGGACAAGGAAGGCAAAGATTCAACTGGGATGCCAATGATCCTAATACATCTCTTTTGCACACCTTTAAGTATATTTGAGAGGCGTTTGGGCAGGCCTCCCCAAACCGGGCTAGCATACTCCGGCGTATAAACACAAGGTAAATCTGTATAAGAATATCTGTTATACCTTGATCTGGAGTTCGTCATCTCTTTGCACAACAGATCTGGGCTTGGACACGATGTCATCCGGCAGCCGCCTAGCCCGATGCTGAAGTTTCTGCAGGGCTTCGCGGCGCTGGCAGAACCGAGCACGCTGGGACATGTTCACCCGGGGGATTGACACGACTTTGCTGAACTAGCGCTGATACAGCGGAGCTGTCGAACGCACGTCCGTCCGCGGCAAAGTCACACGCGGAATGAAGCAAACAGAAGGTTGTCACGGATAACCATGCAGTACAACGGCGTTCCAGAACAGATGACGGTTACAACCGAACGCAAGTTCGAATCGCCCCCCTCCCTTACTTTGCCCCCCTCCCCCCGAATCCGAGTTACTGTACTTTCAATATAGCTTTCAATATACAACACATGTAAATCATGTAACGTTGACGTTACAGATAACGCTTTACACGATCGTACGGCGGAGATTTTGACTGTAGCTTAGAATATATCATTAAAGATCATTAAAGTCTCCTGAGTCCTAAAAAATAAGGTTTTTCAGCGGAAAGAAAATTACGCAAGGTCACGTTCGAATAGGTTTATGCCAGTCTCCCGGTAACAAATGCGTGTTTTTTTCTACCCCTAAGGCCAATTTACAGTAAGGAAACATGAATCAATAAATTGATGGTAACAATACTATAAATAGTCATTAGTATGATAGTTCTTACCGATACAGAGGCCGAGCATCCCGTGTTCATCACTCAGTCAGTCACGCAGTTGTCAGATCAGAAGATGACAAAGTTGACCCCATCTTGTCGCCATCGCAGGTGCTCCAAAGTATAGATCGCCATCGTGGGCTGATCTAATCTCCAAGCAGATCATACGCGGTCGCAAAGCAGTATCCATTGGCCAGAGGAGTGTCCGTTTATAGTCGTGCAAACTCCTCTGGCCAATGGATACTGTCTTGTCACCGAAAGCGATCTGCTTGGAGATAACGTTAGGCTCCGTGGTAACTCGTTGTTACCAACTATATTGTATTGACCCCGCCCCTCAACACAAACAAAAGGAACCAACAATGTTAATTCCACAACAAAACAATGAGCACGTCTTTCCAACAGAAATTTCATCATTCAACGGGCAATAACCTGACTCACCGCCTGGGGCACGCTGCACAATCCTCACTGATTTCGTTTACACAAATAACGTTGGACTGTGATTCTAACGTTATAACATGACAAATCACTTCTGAAGTTATGTTTTCTTCGGTAAAAGGGACTGGAATTCTTACTTCAACATTACGGACAATGAGCCATCAATGATATCCGTAAAGACAACGAAGGAAATACATTTGTAGTTAGTTACCATTTGAAGATACTGATAGTCTATGACAGCGTGGTGAACCTCTTACTCCTCAAAAATCAAACTGCAACAACTTTGTTGTTATCGAGGTTAAGTTGTATTTCTACTGTGATGTGAAATTAGCATAACAATTTTGACTCATCTTTGTCTAAAACAGAATCTGTCATACCAACATGACATAAGTGACAACATAATTACTTTACAGACAATACAAATCTCTTATTGGTTAACAATTATCACAAACCCATCAGTACTGTAACTACTATAATTCTAGTAGGATTTAAATTACTAAAAGAAAAGTCTAAACTGTACAATTCTATTCTTTTCAGCCCTACCCTCATATCATAAGATAGGAATGTTCAAATCCACTTTCCAATTATATCCATTTATTCAACAATTTTTTTTCAGTTATTTTATTCAAAGAAATTTTGGTAATAACGTTATATTCAGAAGAGGTTGTCATGCTGAAAAATTCTTGTCCCTCCATCATTCCAGTTTCTTTGTTTAATATATTTTTTTTCAAATGAAATGAAAAATATCTAACGCTAATTAATAATCTTGTATTACCTAATGCCACTTTTGTTATTGGGAACACAAAACTGTACTTCACAGTTATAAGTTAACTGCTTCATGTCATGTCACAAGATACAGAGGCCAATATTAAAATGCTCCTTCGTTCCACTTAGACAACTTTGATAACTTTGCTTCAAGAATGACAATTACTGCACTGAAAAACCAAGCACATTCATTTCTTCATGGGTTATGCCATATATGAAATAATACATGTACAAGTCATTAATTTTGTTGGTTATGTTTCCTAGACTTGCTAGCTGATAGCCTGTTTAGCAGCAAGTTGGCACACATTGGTACTTCATATACATTACTTCACTATCTTCTTCTACAAATACACTGACTATGGTCCAAAATATTTGCTTTTCTGTTGTTAAAAGTACACTGAGATTGTTGAGCAAGTTGGGAATATACATGGACCAGGCAATGGTGGACAAACAGGAATGTGCCTAGAGATTATTATAAACATAAGCTTATTGTGAAATATCATTTGCACAGTCTGATACAAACACTTAACTGTGAAGTGTGCTAACCTCACGGTTTACTGATGCTGCATTTATAGTAGATCTTTAGACACAAAGTATTTCAATATGTTGGTCTTGGGTACCCAATAATATGACTATGTGAGTTGACATTACCACATCTCTCATGTGTAGGGCATATACAAACACCAGATACTAAACTCTCATGCAACGTCATGCTTGTCAAAAGGCATTAGATCTTACTAACATGCATTTGGCTACAAGAAAACTTCAGGTCTATCTTTCATGCTCTACAAACCCAATCAGCACTTCAAAACGTCACAAGAAATGAAATGTTCAAATATTGTTCTGATGTCCACTACTGGTAAAAAAAAACAACCATCTAATCATGTGTGAAAAAAATAAAAAATTGAAAAAAATGGTCTTTTTCCTATGTGCTCAATGACTTAACACCTTGAAACTGTACAACACCATGGATACTATTAAAGTAACTACTGGTACTATTACCATGCTAACTTCAGAATTACTTACAGCAAAGCTATTGCTTGTTTACAAACACTTATTTTGTGAAATATCATAAGTTTACAAACAATATATTCTTATTTCGCTGTCCCTGGCCAACAACATGTACAACTTCTCTTGGGGCAGGTTGGGCGTTAATCACAATATAAAGGGCAAATAATTTGCATACTAATGCCAAGCTCTAGTTGGTTAGCTCGCAGTAGCTCTGAAAAGTTTATTTTCCAACTAATTTTGGGCAGTGGGCACCAGCTATTAATTGGTCACTTCACACTGATATATTCATTTATCTCACAAAAAAAATCACCAGGTACAATATCATTACTTGACATCTATGATGATCAAATGAAATAAATGGTGCTAACAACACCATATTAAGACTATGTTGACACTTCCTACTTGAGTATTTGAGTATTGGTTTGAAACGTCAACATTTAAATTGATATGAATTGACATGCTCATTCTGAGATGCCTCCTTTTCAGATGTGTCTACTGTGTCACCTGATTGGCTAGCTAAAATTGTAATAGGACACTTGATTTGCTAGTTAGTACTAATTCCTGATTGGCTAGTAACTTAGTACTGATTTCTGATTGGTTGCAAGGAAAAATGAAATTGAAGTTGTTTTAATAAAAGTATGAAGAGAACTTCAAATTATTCGACATGAAGTTTAACAGCTGTGATCACATCACTTTACCTTTCAGCCCATCTTTGCACAATCAATTATGCATCTTTTATGTCCTAAACTTTGGCTAATCTCACAAACCCCAGTTTCTCTCCATTGGTCAACTGTTTACAACACTGGTCCTCTTCGGCACTTGCTGTCACACATGCAGGGCCATTCCCATTGGCAAGTCCTCCTAAGTACACCTCCTGTCCCTTGCCAAATTTGGTATAGGGTACATCCTTCCTGCTCACAATGTCTGTCAACCCATCAATCCTTGGATGGGCCAATGTTTCCCCATTGGTCCTTTCTGAGGACTGAAGGTCTCTCCCTTTGTTAGAGTCCGTCCCATTGGTCAGCATGATAAGACCACTGTTGGCACTCTCTGTCCTTGAGCCATTCGTATAGCTTGTCTCATCAGTCACGCTGGCTTTGTTTGGTCCTATAGAAACAGGTACAGACACTTCCGCTCTGTTCAGTGTGTTGGCATTGACTGTGCCAGCCCTTGGTACGGCACTTCGCTGAGTCAAGAGTGATTGCAGGTGGTCCGCCACTACTGAGAAAGGGTCCGGTACCCCATCATAACCTACAGGATAAATAAACATCTAATGTCAATCTAAGGATATCTACTTTTTCTACTAACTTTCAAACAGATTACTGTAGAACTACATGTACCTGCATGGACAATACACAGTGAAAATTGACTCCACTGCTATTTAACAAACAGAATTGTAATGGTTACAACAAGTCAGAGTCAAAACACATATACTCTAATCATTGTTTGGTATTTAGGACCAAACATCAGTTTAGGAGTAGTTAGATACTGAACACCATTATACAATAGCTAGATACATAATACAAGATATCACTAGTCTTGACTAGGGATAATAATGAGAGTAAGACCAACAGAAGAGTGGTACTGACTTGGGAATGCGTTGATATCGATGATAGCATGGCGACTGGTCCTGTTCTCCACGATGATGTCCACGCCAAACAGCGTGATGCCCAGCTGCTGCCGTAGGTTAGTCAACACATGCTCGAACTTCTCCCGCGAGAGAGGGAGGGACGGGCATGACACTTTGTCCCTGCTATCCAACTGGGGATGAAGCATGTACAGAAGTTGGCAACTTGGCACTGTATCATATAGGCAAATTTTAACCTTCATTCTAAGGTAGCCATTTGGAACCAAGTTTGCATTGCTTGTGGTTTTACATAGTAGGATGAAAGTTAAACAATGAGTAACAAGTAGTTATGCAAATTAAAGGTTAGATTGTATTGCATGGCATAAAGGATCCTATCAATGGAAAGAACAAGAAGACCAACATGAGGAAACATGTACATGAGCTCCATACCTGATTGAGGAATGAAGATGAGCCAGCCTTGGAAACATCATGGCTGTTGAAGTAGATTGTACTGTGATCTAAAACACATGCCAGTTTTAAAACATGTCATGACGATTATCATTTACTGTGTCAATCAAAGGACATGTAAAGCTTAACTATATGTGGTGTGTTCAACATTATAAATCTTTCTTGTTTCTTTTATGATAACAAGGCATTTCAAATATACACAATTTCAACATTTAGAATGTTGGCTGTATCACAAGATATGTCTGAGTTGCACAAGTAGTTTGTTATGTCTCAGGGTACTTTAAGGTTTAAGGAACTCACCCCCTGCTGAAAAGTTCTTGAGAGATGGCCTCTCCACAACAAAATAAGACTCGCCAACCACAAACACCTGCGGAAACAAACATTGCAAATATGAACAGTAAACAAATGCCACAGGGTGTGACCTGTATTATCGTCGATGAAAATTCTACTTAATATCAGTTTATCCATATGCTGTATCCCATTTCATAAAAAAATGATGAAATATTTCCTGATATACATATAGCGTCTCGACAGAATGAGTTAATTTGTCAGGATCTCTAAGGTGTTCAAAAGCTGTGTTCAGTGTATCCATGGACTCATATGTATCATTTCAACTAGGTGAAAACATACCTTGTGAAGGACTGCATTGTGGTTGACAAAGTTCTGCGCCACACATGGTGGACTGAGGAGGTCCTTCAACCCTTCAGCATTGAAAATGATGGCCATCTGCAGGCAAGGAGATGTTAATATGTGAACACATATATAAATAGAATATGTGTATTCTCAGTCCCATTCTTGTCTTTTTTTCCAAAATCTGAACTGCTTAATTTTCAATCTATTCAATGACATTCTTATAAACGGAAATCTTTTTTGTTTTCTAATGTAGGCCAATATTACATGTTTTTCTTTCACAAAGTTCTGGAAATTTCACTACATGTAAGTTTTGAAGATAAACAAAACATGCAAAACAACTTTGGTACAAAAAAGATACATGTATTGCAACTTTTAAAGGTAGGAAGGTACAAAGGTTTAACATGATGTGGCATACTCCTATATGCTAGAGACCATTCAAGTGTAGTAAGGGGAGTTGGGAATTTCAATCACATGTACCTCATGTGAAGCTGATCCTTGAGCTACAGATCTTTTGCACACTGGAACAAAAGACATGAAAATTATGTCAAAATACATTACGGTATCAAATTCCACCCAAAAGGATAAATTTTCAGAGAAATTTTTAGAAAATATAGTTCAACTCATGCATACCAAACGGGAAGTGGACTCCTCCCTCCTGTAGCAGCTGCAGGATTTCTGTTCTGTCTGTTGTTCGCACCTCCACAAACTCTGGCATAAAAATGTCTCCACCTGGAAGGCATCCATATTGTTGAATATAGTACATTGTACATGGTATATTCCTTCTACAGTTTTCATTTTTTTCCCCATGCCTCTGAGTTAAAGATGTATCTTAAATATCAATACAAATTTCAGCATCAACAAGTATCTTCCTTCATTATTGTGTTTGATTATTTGTTTTACACCAGTAAACACAAAGCCATCTTATCTTCCAGTATTAAGACCTTACAAAAAGCCTGAAGAGTAAAAGCTCTAGAAAAAAAATGATATTCTGCTTTGGCTCCTTTATCTGAAAGCAGCCATGGCACCTCTAAGGCGCCTCAGTGATGTTGTGAGTAATTTTCTTATGTTGAGAGTAATTTCCTTACCCTTGTCTTTGGGAATACACTCCTGTATGATATGGTAAGCAGTCCAACGGTCCATGAGACTCTTAACAGAACTGAGAGGATCCACAACCACTACTTCAGGGTGGGAACTCAGGTAGTCCTAAAACAACAACATCAACAACACTGGATTCATCTCACAAACAGGACACAAGTGAGGTTGTCATATTTAAAGCCTTGGGATAAGCAAACTTTTCTTCAGCCAAGATGTGTTTTGTAATCTCCAATTGTGCTTCACCTCAGTTGAGGATGGATACTTTTTACCACTGTAACGTCTACAAGACAAGCAGACTTCCTGGACTAAAAAATGTACAAGATTTATCACAGAGGCACCTGACAGGTGCACCTACCTCCACCTGCTGCAGCTGTCCCTGTGCGTGTGCGTCGCCCTCCCGAGCCTTGATGATGACGTCTGTCAGCTTGTGCAGGATGGCGTGGAAGGGACCCTGGGCTGCCAGGGGGCGGGAACTGTCAACCTGGGCAGAGGGTACACAACTGGTAATTACCTTGTAAAATAGTTTGGTTGCAAAAAAATGAACAAGCTATGTATGAAAGCATTGTTTTCCATTGACCATCCTCATTTCTGACATTTCAAGAAAACTGGTAATACTTCGACATTCATCTGTGTTCATGTACATATATACATGTCTTAACACTTTTCATTTAGTACTATTTAGACCAAAAATTATCATTTTGCAGACAGCACCATTTAACCTTCTTGTGCAAAATTGTGACACACATCCACCTTTTACATTTGTATATCAAAGTTATATATATATGACCATCATGATAGAATACCAAAAAGGTAAACAGTTAAAACTCACCAGGACCAGCTCCATGCCTCTGCACCTATAAAAAAACAGATATACATTGTAATCACAATGTGGAGGGAACAAAGTCATCATGTATACTGCTTTCACTGTCACACACATGTATAAACACTACAATGATGCATCCATACATGCATGGCATGTTTTTTTTTAATTTGTGGGTCTTAATTCATTACAATGAACCCGGATGACTGACAGTATATGTAATGCATTCCAGTAGCTCTACACGATTCTAAACGGTAATCATCCACGTCACAGGGGGTGTCTCAAAATATGATTCTCCCCACAAACAGTACTACATTCTCTTACATCAACACATAAAGGTTTCCTCTGACCTAAATCATTAGGCATGCATAGCATGGTGTAATCCTATACATGTACTTCTGCTTGACAAGGCTTTAAACCCCAAACCACAACAATGGACAAAATGCAAAAGATGTTGGTGTGGTATGAAAAACTAGCATTTCATGACTGGCAGAACGTTTTGGGAACTGATTATTAAAATTTAAAAAAGCAGTTAGTTTAACCAAAATTGAGTATGATTTTGCCAGTACTTCAATCTGTTAACATCTGGCCATGTGCTCTAATAGAGTGAATAAGAATTCAATCACAAAATAGTCATTAGGCATTCAACAAATATGGGGAACAGGTACATGCAGAGGTTTACTCACCTACAATACTGAGAGAAAGTGTGTATTGAGAAGGTTTTCTTCTTCTTCTCGCTCAACCAGCAGCCCACCCGCCATGACAGCGAGAGCGCGTCAGCTTTCTCTCCATACTGCGCCATTTGTCCCTGAGTACTGCCAGCACTTCTTCCCTCTTCATCCATTCTGCTGACAATATCCTATCCTACAAAAATGGCAGAAAGAAACATAGTGGAAGTCCTTAATAATAGAAACACCAATCCTCAAATCAGGCTTTGTTCTTTTCCAGGAAAGAAACGTAATCTTCAGTAGAAACACAAGTCAACATGTGAACATTTGATGATACCCTCACACAGTAATGACCAGCAAGTCAGTGGATTTCCCTGCAAAGTCTTAGAAGGACATACATGTAGCACTGAAAATGTGACCTCAAGGTCTTAGGACCTACAGTAGGAGTGGAAAAATACAAGAACCCATGCATGGTTTACGTAACATGAAAACACCAGGGTCTTTTATGGGTCATTTGTGTCCTGCTGTCTCTATGGTCCTGGAATTTTATCTCTATTATGTAAAACTTGGCTTCATAACAATCCATGCACACAAAGGAAACAGGTGCCAGTGTCAGTTACATTGTTTGCCTAAAATTAGAACTACTCTTTGCATTTTGACATAAAAAAGAGGAGGAACAACAATTTCTATAGACCAGAGGGGATCATTGCAGAGGTTATGCAGAATGTAAAAAAAAAACTCATTCTGTCATACCATAAGATGATATGAATGCATTCTACTATGGTGAATCAGACTGAAGTAAAATTTTCAACGGTTGGCACTTTGTATGTGCACTTGTTAATAAATTAATGGTTGCTATACTTAGTATTCAATAATGGTTTTAATTCAGCCCTGGTAATACTAGATAAAAAAAGGTCATTGATTGTTATGTGTGTTTATATACCTGTAAAATTTTACAACTTCTTCAAGTATTAATAAGAACACCAAGCTACATGTAACACTTGTGGGCTATTAGTAGCACAATATTAAGTAACCCAATCACTCGTAAACATGTTCTAAGAGTCTGATCTATTGATACAAAGGCTTAAGACCTGTGATCATTGACCCAATTCACGGGTAACAACTATACTAATAGTAATAGTTAAGCACAAACTTGTAAGCGACATCCGTGTCATGAGAATCATGTCAGTAATGATAGGACCTTTTGATTGAAAGGTGAACCACAAACATAATGGCTGCGTTAAATGAATGACTTAAAATTACTCATACAACCACATAACACGGTCTGACAAACTCTATATGCATACATGCATACTTCAGTTCCTTGCCTAGGGGACTGGCATACCTTTTCTGCTAAGGAAGTTGGGAAGAATGCTGATTGAACAGATTAAGGAAACAATATTTCTACGAAAAGCGTATAACAAGCGTAACAAATGTAACAAGGTGAAACAAGCGTCACCATTGTTACACCAGTCCAACAGGTCTGGATCAAGTTCTAGCTTTGTTGTTAACTTGGAAATTGGGTTTCGCCCAAATCCTGGTGCTATTCGCCCCATTGTGTTTCAGTGGGAACTGTCCCTCATTGGCCCTGTGAGTAAAATGTGCCGCAAAAGGATATCGAACTCAGAGATTTGAGGATGAATTTAAAAACAAAAGGGGGGGTTCAAGCACCACCAACTGGCCAGTCCAACTAGTCCATACCCTTTTCTGTAGCCTTGTGGTTGGTGTGTTTGGTTCATGAGCTGGTGGCCCAGGTTCGGCATGGGTTTACAGTACTTCTCACCCCTTTGTGTTCCAGTGTGTAATGTCTAAATACTAGTAAGTTTTCAGAACTTCAGTGTTACAATATAATAGATAAAACTGCATGATGATTCTCTACTACTAGGAACAATGACCTTTTTTATGTCCAGTACTAAACAATTAAAAAATCTAAGATATTAACAATATCAACTATCACACACCTGAAAAATATATAAATCAGACATTGAACTGTCCTTGAACATCATAATTTTATAAAGATGATAATGACCCATGTCATCATGTGACACATTGATTGATTTGTTCTGTTCCAAAGATCAAAGTATCGAACAAAAAATCTGAACTTTGTGCTTTTATCAGTTTATGGTCCGATTGATGCGCTTCGCATAATTGTTCCATGGATGTTTAAAAAAGCTTTTATGATCCATGATAACCTTAGAAAATTAGATTCAACACAGGCAGATCTACTTGATAACAAATAAGAAACCGTCTACTAATACTGCGGCCAAAAAGTTGGAGTTGTGTTTACAGGGCCGGGTATTGTATACAAATATATTTTACTAGAAAGTCACAAAAGTGGGAGGGGGGCAGTGAACATTACCTGCAAGGTCCACGTGATCTTCACGCACACACTGGGCCTCCAACAGCAGGTTGTGTTTCCTCGCTTCTTCAGGTCTGCATGAGAGTCTGTAGTAACGTTGGTGGTTGTCTTCCTGGTGTTGAACGTTTATGGCTAGTTTTGCCCCATGATAAAGCCCGTTTCTAACGACAGAACGTTAGCGCGTCGTGCAACTTAGCAAACATTTTGGTCCCTGCAGGTATTCTATCCCAGCAAGCGCTGCGGCTGGAACAAACTATGTTAACGCAGGGGGGCGTGGACGGTCAAAGAGAAACAAAAGTTCAGACATCTACTTATCTCCATCAATGATTTGGCTCTATCAAGCAGATTCTAACCTCAATTCTTGCCTCCATGAAGTATTTGGAGCTTTTGATTTTTTTGTCTCGCTGATTATCGAAATAAATTTGTAAAAAAAATAGCATAATCTTTTCACAATTTTAGCTGCTGGGCTTCTCGACTCAGATTAAATGCACTCTTTGCTTGTAATGTGTTACATGTGTTGAAAGTCATATCAACAATGATATCAATTATGCAAGTTATGTCTATATTCAAATATTCTATGCATAGTGATGTTCACCTCTGACCACGTGACTTACACATGTCACAAGTATGACTTTCATTGGGCTCATTGGTGTTCATGTTTTGTTCATGGTTGAAACATACAACATACAAACATACCCTCACGGGGACAGAAGTGGCCAGATTAAGTAAATATTTTGTTTAAATATTGTGACATAATGGACTATCTAGCACTACATCTTCTTTTCATGTCAGATGATAGAACTAAGTTACATGTAAGGTTATGTTCTTTTCTTAAAAGATTCATTTCTAACGCTACCAGGTAGCTCTGTATATATCTCTACATACAAAGGCAGCAGAACAATAAATCTCCTACTGACTCTCACAGGTGCTGTTGATTCATTCCGGGCAGGTCAAAGTTCAGGAGGTTGAGTGACAGGTGGCCCGACCAGTACCTACGCACATATTGCAGTCGCTGCTACTGTTGGATACTGTTGTTGTTGTTGGATGACGTTTACCACATGAGCCCAAGTTCAAAGACTACGTCCCTCGTCCTACTGTTGCTTGGACTGGTGTACGTCACACACGGAGGACCTGCACTACCCGACAGACCTTTTAACATCGTGTGGAACGTCCCCTCTAGAAAGTGTGCGGAGAAGTTCGGGTAAGGGTCCAACCCGATACCGTGAGTCGTTGTACGATACCACAGTGACTGTGTTATCGGCGTACGTTATCGTAGCCAAGCCTACACAACATTCTACAATATCGATACAACGACGGATGTGACATAAATCGCTGTATTTGTATCTTTATATCGTAAAATAGACGATTTGTTAATGATTTAAATTTTATCTAAATTTTTTTTTCTGGCGAACTGAAGACAGAAGTTTTTGTGTATTATTTTCTAACATTCATGGGCTAGAAATGTTAAAGTTTTGGCTAAAACCTGTATCACGAGTAACTTCAGTTTGTGTTGCATGAAATTTAAGTTTGATGATAATTCGTTCCTTAGTGTTGAGTTCGACTTGGACGAGTATGACATCGTGTCCAACCCTGGGCAGGAGTGGAATGGAACATACGTCACCATTTTCTACGAGAAGAACCTCGGGCTGTATCCGAAAATACACGAGCCGACGGGTCAGGACATCAATGGCGGGATACCACAGGTGATAGAATAGACATTCAAGACAGGCATCTCTTCTAACCTCCTTCTCACATCACATCTCTTGGAAGAATAGCTGTCACCCTAGCTCGGGTAGGCAGCTAAAGGAGAGTTTTTCCTCAATAAAACCTCTCCTGTATTTTCATTGTAACCATGGTCCCTTCTCTCCCCACCACACGTTACTCGGAGATGCATTACAGTATTGTAAGAGATAGCCATACCATTCTACACATGTATACGTGATTACATTGGGTATAACAAATATTGAAATAGTCTAAGACGTCTGTTGATAAGAGAACGATGTAAATTACATTAAGAATTCTGATCAAGGGGAAACGAAAATCCTGATACCCCTAGATATGTACAAAACGTGCACGGTCGTAACTGTATTGAACTGTACATGACAGGAAGCCGACATCGAAGCCCATATTGCCAAAGCTACGGACGACATTTACCGACTGATTCCCGACGCCGACTATCAAGGTTTGGGAGTGATCGACTTTAAACCATGGCGGCCGCTGTGGAACCGAAACTGGGATTCAAAAGTAAGTTTGGACTAGACTCGACATCTAATGCTAGTTCTGTTTAGAAAAATTATCTGAAATGCAACTTTGTCTATTACAACTTTGTCTACATGTATTTCAAATGGTAGTCCATACGACGACCACTATGAACACCACAAATGTACGACATTATATATTTGATATCATATACAAGTTGCATGTGTGCTGGTTCTACACACTCTTAGGGGAAAATGAATTTCTATCTTGTTGTTATCTAAGAATATCTACCGAGTTAAGTCAGAAGACCTCGTCAGACAAACATCACCGTATGCGTCGAAAGCGGAAGTGACGTCAAAGGCGAAAGAAGAGTTTGAAGGAGCAGCGAGGATGTGGATGGGGAAAACTTTGAGTCTGGTGAAGACGTTACGCCCGGGAGGCTTCTGGGGGTTTTACCTGTTTCCAGATTGTTATAATTCCCCAGAAGAAATTAAACTCCGGCAGGGCACAAGCTATGACTGCACAAAGGTAACGATGCCTTATGCCAAAGAACTTAGTGAAAGGTATGCATGATGTATAACATAGAACAACTAGTTGAAGGTCAAAGTCATGACGTCAAAGCAAACAATGACTAGGAAGGATCGAGCACTTTTAATCGACGACGTCAACGATAATAGTTCGTGCCTCATTCTTGGAAGTGCCAATGTACTTGAAAGCGAGAATGTCACCATACGTGACCGCAATGTCATTGTAAAATGCTCTTTACTTTCTCCAGGAGGTGAAATCTGACAATAACCGGCTACAATGGCTGTGGGAGGGGAGCACGGGTTTGTACCCTAACATATACCTCACAAGCGTCTTCAAAACACTGCCCAGTTCGGAACAGTTTGTTCGTGCCCGAGTGGCCGAGACGTTCCGAGTCATGGACGGTCGGCAAAGTTCATCTATCCCCGTCTACCCTTACGTGCGTCTTCGCTATCGGGATTCAATGGAATGCCTTGCGAAGGTTATCAATATTTTTGTCTTCATTAGTGGGCATTTGTTTATAAAAGTTGTGAGTTAATGAAACATCATAAACGGATATCAAATAACTCTGGACATCATATTGGTTTTGGTGTCTATGTGTGCTGTCTGTTTGCTTGCATTGTTTGCGTTCCACATGTGTTTTCCAATTTACTAGTCAGATTCATCGCAAAGTAACATTTGCAAGAAGCAAAAGTCAGAGTTGGCAGAGTGACAGGAAGCAAAGTTCAGATCTCATGATCAGTATGAATTTTCCATATGAAAAGATATTGCTATTTTTCCTGTGTTGTTCAGACCTTTACCTTTATCTCTCATACATTGTTCTGTATAGGCTGACCTGATCTCCTCCATACAAGAAGCGGCAGGGCAGGGCTCGGCTGGCGTGGTCATCTGGGGGGCGTCTGCGGACGTCAACTCCAAGGTAGGTGCACCGATTCTGACGTGAAAGCCCCGGTTTGACGTGGCAGTTGCTAATTTTGGCATATTTGGCAAGTAAGCAGAACTGTCTTGAAAATGTATTGTCATGGAAATGTCTTTGATCTCACTAAAAGTTCAGTGTAAAATATGTTACTAATAGACAAACCGTCTTATCGAAGTATACTCTACCTAAACTACCACACGATATCATATAATAGACGTTGATATCTGAACTTTGCCCAGCCGGACATTTGGGCACTAATATAAATGCTGTACTATATTTGTAGATGTTCTACTATAAACAAACCGTACTTAAAAGTGAAAGAATATTCAAGTGATCTTCTCTGTTGAAAGGGGATTTATTTAGACTTCCAATTCAAGGATATTTCATAATTTTCAGGAGAATTGTGTATCCCTACGGGATTACGTAACCTCAACATTTGGGCCATTCGCAAAGGAGATGACGTCACAGGCGGCTGACTGCAGCAGGAGAGAGTGCAGCAGTCATGGCAGGTAAGAGAGGACCGCACTACCAAGCAGAGGCTTAGACCTGTTTTGGACATTTTGTATACCTTTTTAGACATTTTTGTGGGATTTTCGTAGTATTCTTGCCTACCCAAAGATAAGACAAAATAGAAAGCGAAAAAACGTAAAATTTACGTCAAAATTTGCATGTTTATAGGTTTTTAGTGCTTTTTTACTCTCCATGCTGCTCCAGTTACTTATATATGTTTTGGCTAGCTATTCTAATTCTTGAGCTGTACTCACAGGTGCGTGACTTATTACGAAAAGGCGTCAAATGACGAACCAGTGAAGACAGACAGATCGGGCCTAGTTCAGGAAGGAGTACAGAAGGCGGTGCAGATGACATCAGAGCCACCAGGAAGCGCTGCACAACAAGAACAGCAATCACACGAACAGGTGTTTTTTTTGGCTACGCCTTAGGGACAAGGCTATAATTTTCCGGTATAAACAACACACTAGGTCATCTCCTCGCTGATATATTGCAACATTTGATAGATAGAAAATTGGATAGCATGAACAGTTAATGATGCTATTTCCATTGATCTTACAGGTCATATCAAGAGAATATGCGTCTTGGTTTGGTGAGAAGCTGCAGTATCTACCAGGCCGGCAGGGGACGTTATGCCGCTGTTATCCGGGTTGGACAGGAGAAAGGTGTAGCGAACAAACAAACTGAAGACACAGTAACAACCTACAGCAATTTCTGTTACATATTTGTAGTAAGTTACACAAATAGACAGGCTTTTATGATCGTATGCATGATACAAAATTATATCAAAACTCGACTACTCATCGACACCATATTTACCGTTCCAGGTATTTTTGTTAAATTATTTCCAAAACCGTAAAAGGTTTATAACAGCGGTTTGTATATTTCAATATAACCTTCGTTGAATAGTAGCATTGAATGCGAGTTTTCTAATTGCTTTCCTATCATCTTGTGAAAACAGTAGTATTTAGTGTTAGGATCGCTGCGTCCATCATTGCAAACACGTCGTCACATGTTTAGATCATGACGTCGACAGTGTTCGCCCTCTCAGTCCCATGACGTCATCACTGCCGAGGCCAGTACTGCCCAGAAGACGACAACAAGTGATGACGACATTCCCGAGGACACATCTGTGGCGAATGACAAAGTGACGTCGTGAAAAGTCAAACAATAACCGTCTTGGCTTGATGCAATTATTTCAAACCTTCGAAAGCTTTACATCTTGCATTTAGCTTTGGGACAATAAGAGCGCTAGCGCTGAGACGAAATCATACATATGTTTTTAAGTTTGTGGCAGTTGTATATAACACGTTGACAAGTTTGGAGCTGTTGATTTAACCAATGTAACGTTATGCTTTACTTTTGCCGGTTAGGTATTCTTCTGGCATTCTATTTTGTGACATTGCACACAGGTCTCTAGATGTCCGACAGTACCTGAGCTTGCCAGAGGAATTTGGCACATAGGAGTTGATTTGCGCGAGAGAAACTAACGGCGGACAAACTTATCTGACCATTGATTTTTGTCGAATTCTACTATCCAAACCCCCTTATAAGTAAGACCTAGTGGACGCTAGTCCCTATACTATAGACCGATCCTGAAGCTCCGCCCAACTTCGTCAAAACATAGAAATATAAATAGTTGACGGACATGCAGCCACTCTCTCATTGGTCTAACCGCTAATTGCTCTTCTCTCATTGGTTGAACGTCTAATTGTTATGGACATTCGGGATCCGTCTATTACGTCGCGTGAAAACGCTCTATAGACCCTCTGACCCAGGCGCAGGACCTACCGGACGGCGTGTCACAGAGGATCGGGTCCTCGTCCGAGTCGTCGTCACAGTCCTGGATCCCGTCACACCTGTCGGCTGGCCGGACGCACCTGGACCCGTCAAGGCACATGAAGCCACCTGTTCCCTCACAGTCGTCTGTACGGGTCAGCGGGTGGAATGGATTAGGCGATTTAGAGACAAGCAAACGTCTTACATATACCTGTAGTCCCCAAAGTCTAGATATACGGGATGTTCTACAATCATTGCATTATAGAAACTGAACTGAAAGTACGGGGAAGAAGTTAACATTTAATTAAATTGGCAGACAAATATCGTAATCTATCTAAAGTGTCGTACTCGATACAGTTCTTTTTTGCATTTACGTCTTTCCTTGATATTTTTTTGATTCTCTAAAACGTAGTGACTGACATGGTGGTGTCCAGCCATTATTCCAGCCCAGCGTCTCGTTCTCGTTCTGTTTCTCCAGCCAGTCGATGAGAGGAGCGAAGTACTGCAGGATGGCGGAGGCAGACATGTCACGGCGCCCGGTCAGAACCTCGAACGCCTCCGGCCAGGGCTGGCTCTTTCCCATCCTCAGCATTTCACTGGGAAATAGACAGAAACATTCTGGTGTTTCTCCCACTCTACCCCCCCCCCAAATGTTTGAAATTGAAATGTGTTTTTCATGTTTTAAATAGACTGGAATATATATCATGATCAAATCTGGATGCCAGGTAACGTTATTGAATACCATGCTAGAATATCTAGATCTGATTCCAACAGAACACATCGGATTACTTCTCAATTCTGTTTTATTTTTGCGATTTCATTTGCCAACCCCTTAGTAGGTGTTTGTATGCATAGTTCTTGTTGCTGCTTGTTATTTTCTGACTGGCAGATAAATGCTAGTGTGACATTACTAATTCAAGCTATTTTTTTCAAATTGAAGTACGTTTGTTTACTTGATCACGCCAATACTACACGTTTGTTTTAGAAAATATAGTAGTGCTGTATTAAATACTAGTATATATGGCTTACGCCAGTTTGCTTCCCGCTGTTTCCTTCATGGGTCCGGCGGACGCGTCACACTTGTGCAGGGCCCCGGCAAATCCTGACAGATTACACATGGCCTCGTGGAACTGGAACTGGATGACGAAACTCACAAAGTATCTGTAGAACATACAACAGAATTCAACATAACTCGGTAGGCTACAACTACAATGCGGTAGGCTACAACTACTGGCAATGAATGAGGTGGGCAACACTATAATGAGATGGGCTACAACCTATATATAGTGAGGTAATCTACGACAACAATGGCCAACAATGAGGTGGGCTACAACTGCCGTAGTACGATGAGGTAGGCAACGGCTACAAGGTAACTACAATGCAGTAGGCTACAACTCGTGACAATGAGGTACACGTATACGTAGGCTACGACTACAATGTGGCCGCAAAGAATGGGGCATCGTCAGCACTTGTATTTTTAACATGATAGAGAACACGTAAGATAAAATTAGCACCGTACCTAATGTATGGAGTATTAGCGGGAACGTGGTACTTGCTTCCAGCATCGAAGTCCTTATCGGGGTTTCTCGGTACGGGCGGTACAATGCCCTGGTACTGAGTCCTTGGAAGCGAAATGTGAAAAAAGAGACTATAGTAAAATATCAGATATTAATTGCAGAACATTTGAAAAAACGTTATCATCAGTTATTAAAAAAAAATATGTACCAATACATTTGTAGTCATGAACTGACTAGAAACATTTCGCTTCAAGCCATGTGCCATAAGGAAACGTCGCAACGTGGCCACCAGCTTGCACCATGAGGCTTATAGGGAGAGAAAACTTGTGCTATAGGAAATAGACTAGAAATAGATAATACTTTTACGGCGAGTCGCTAGTGGTCAAAGCCGTTGGGAAACACAAACCGATGTTAGAGCGTACCTCAGTTTCCACCACTCCTCGTTGTATTTGTCCGGTGTGATGCTTCCATCGAAAACCCTCCACCTCCACTGGTCGATCAGATAGCCGAACGGAAGGAAGGCGATCTTCTCCAGGGCCATTTGCATCAGGAAATTGATGTCAACCTCTGCAAAAGCACCGCATTTTTATAGAATGGGCCTTTCCGGTCAGTACTAGCTGAACGCATTAGGCTGGGATTAGGCTAAGAGTAGGGTAACCAAAGACAATTCACTGAATGTTTCGAAATCGTTCTCAAGAAAAGCTATAGACCGCAACAGCATTCATCCAAAATGCAAGAAGGGATATCAGAATTGACAGCAGATCTTGCAAAGTCAACACTAGTAAGTGGCACTTCCTCGACCACAGGCTGGACCGTGTTAAGGAAGAAGAAGTTTTAACTCGGTGTGTTGTACGTACTTACCTGGATCGTCCACTAGCTCAGGGAGGAGTCCGATCTTGTTGAGATGGGCGGGGGTGGACACGGACAGCGCCAACAAGTCACCCACCGCCTCGTGGAACCCTGTGGTCAAAGGGACATGTACCACATTATCTTGAACTTTCTTTTCTTTTTGGCATTTTGTTTCAAAATTGGGGACCCAGTCTCTTTACAGTGAGAGTACTACTTAAATCATTATTGTTTTCCATATTTAACATCATGTTGATGAAAGGACAATACAAAGAAATTAAGCATTGTTACAGAGGTTGCCTATTTTGTACCATTGGAAGTCATTCAGCACCAAGGACAGACATAGTAAAACATGATCTGTTTTCATATTTCACATCATGTTGATCAAAAGACAATGCAGAGGAGTTACGCATTGTTACAGCAGTTGCTGTCATATGCTGTTATGATTGGAAGACATTCAGCACCAAGGACAGACATACATACAACAAGAATGCCAAATATAACATTGTTACTTATTCATCATCAAATTTTTTCTTTGCATCTGGTTGTGATGAATATCTTAAGTACTTCTAGACTGCAGTGCTTCCTGATATAGCTATGTCGCACCGATAGAAATTCCTGTCTTACTGCCCGGGATGTCACAGCACAATGACGACCATGACGTGCACACTTTCAGTGTTCCCACAGTGTTACCTGGATTAGCGCCCTCTCTGAACGGGATCGGCTGGTGCGCGTACTGCAGGAAGTACTCTATATGCCCCATCTCGTGATGGACCGTCACCAGGTCCTCCTGGTTCACCTTCGTGCACATCTTGATCCTGACGTCGTTGTCCAGGTAGAAGTCCCAGGCCGAGGCGTGGCAGACCACGTCCCTGTCGTCAGGACGGACGAACATGGTCCTGTCCCAGAAACTGTCCGGCATCGGGATCTGCCCCATCTCACGGAAGAACTGGTCTGACAGGTTGAACATCCTCAAGGCGTCATATCCCTTCAAAATACATAATATAAGATTATATGATATCAGATAGCGATGTGGGATATAGCATGGAAGGTCGTCTGTGTTGGGATACGGAATTATTGTAAAAGTTGACCATGATCACCAATTTTTACCAGTCTATTCGACCCCTTCTACATGTAACTTGATTGAGCCAGGGCGGGGGTCGCTACCAACTACCAATCACCATTGACCCGTTGCTCACTTCACAATTTGGAATTTTTCTTACCTGCCTGACCATCTCATCCGTTACGTCAATGCTTGGTTTGTTGGGAAACGGAATGACGAGGTTGTAGATGTTTCCCCACGTCTGAGCCCACATGTTACCTGCGGCGGATACCGAGAGAGCACCAATAAGTTATAACCTGACAGAGAGACGGGGGACGGTACAGACTTCATGGCACCTTGCTGTCAGCGATTGCAGACGTCACATGCCCTGTTAGATCGTTTTAGCTTTAAGAAGACTGTGATGGAAACGGCTGAAGATTCAGTGAGTTTTTTTGTGTATGTTCGAATGCAGTTGAGATTTTGAATTCAGTCTCACCCAATAGATGTGCTGGAATCGGCCCCTCTGCGTTCACCATTTCTGCTCCGTACGTGTTAATGAGTTTGCGCCTGACGTAGGCGTGTAGGTTCTGGTATAACGGCTGCAGCTCCTGGTAGATGTTCTCCAGCTGCTGCTGGAAGTCTGCAGTCTCGTACCAGGAGCGCCAATATTCACCTGTGTCGCTCCAGCCTAAAATACAGGCGGAAAATTGATTTGTAAATGAACAGCTGTATGCAAGTAATGTAGTTTTCCAATATCTCTAAAAGAATCGTTATTTGCGGTTTTCAGACAGTTTTAACCCTTATCGTACTAGCCTGGTTACCAAACCTATTATAGCTCCCGAGTCCTACATCCTCTCCGCAAATAGCTATTTGCGGAGAGGATGTAGGACTCCGGAGCTATAATAGGTTTGGTAACCAGGCTATTATCGTACTACTGTTCTATCTTACCATCAGCTACCACGGCCTCATTACTGAGGTCCACGAACTTGGAGTAGAGATCCCCGAGACGCCGCCCGGCCGCGTCCCGCCAGCCCTCCCAGCAGAACAGCAGTCTGTCGTAGTCCGTACTTTCGGCCATGCAGTCTTCTAATCCTGTGAAGTACGATCGGGGTATCGCCAAAGTTCATGATTCCAATGTACAGTGACAAAACGAATGTTATGAAGAATATCACATGTTTTCAATACTCCACCCCGTGGTCTTCTGATACCAAAGACTCCGGCCCTGAGGCGTTGCCAATAAGTAGCAGTACAGATCAACAGGGCAAATTAACAATCCATTCATTTTCTAAATCTAGAATTCAAGAATAAGGAAGTGACAATCGTGAGTGCTGTCTGAGGAAACATCCGAATGAAAAGGGTTTTTTTTATATTATCATTCTCTCTTACCTGGGTTGAGATCCAGACACGTTTCTGGGTTGTCATACTCGCAGGCCTTCCCCGTGCTGTAGATCTCTTCCATCTCCGACAGTAGATTGTTCAACTGTAAATAGAGCAACGGGAGGGATGTGTAATGTGTTATATAGGTATGGTATTTATTGTCAGTATTGCAACATGACGGGTAGATTTGTCAACTTGACAAAACGCAGTTTTCAAAGGAATACTTTGAAAAAGTCTAGATCTGTACTTTGAAAATGCATTCAGATACTTTGAATAGTTGTTTTGAACGCATGCACTGTACCACAATGAACTCAGAGCACAATATTTTACTACTCTGCAATATGTTTTTACCACTATGGATGACATCGTACCTCCTCTAGTTTTTCTTCGTCCTCCAGTGCGGCCGTGCCCAGGGTGGTGATCATACCGAACAGTCGCTTCACCGTGGCATTGCTGAAGTTCTCCCAGTCATACTCGGCCGCGTCCGTGGCCACTTCTTTGGCAAACTTTGCCACCTCCAAGTTGAGTTCAACCTGTGGAATGATTAAACCAGTCTCTGAAATATCTAACTAATGCACTTTGTCAACACGCACAGTACCTGTCAATCTTTCACCGGTCATGCGCCGGGTTCGTAGAACAATTAACCGCATGATAACCCCATGCACCTGAAATGTTTGATCAAAGTCAAAGTATTGAGTCGCGTTAGCTGCTAATTGGGGCCTATGGGGGGCGGAGTAGGGGAAAGGCTGTGGTGGTAGAGAGGTGTGTGTGTGTGCGTGCGTGCGTGTGTGTGTGTGTGTGTGTGTGTGTGTGTGTGTGTGTGTGTGTGTGTGCGTGCGCGCGTGTGCGTGCGTGCGTGCGTGTGCTTGAGTGCGTGCGTGCGTGCGCGCGCGCGCGTGTGTGTGTTAAAATAATAACGAAATGCACAAAGCAGACAGAAGAAGTTCAGTCGTAGGCTTTCAGGTACCGGTGATTTTTACATGAAACAACTCTTATCACACAAAACTCTGATCGTTGACGTTCACGTTTATAACGTCACACAAACTAGCAATACATGCCCTGTACCATGGGAATACATCATGACACGTTATGTTCTTTCTCGTTCTATGGAAAGAAGTGCTTTAAGTCTCTCCCCGTCTCCCGTCACTAACATGTGATTGAAGGGGTTGTTTTTTTGGTGACGCGGCCTCGTATCGATCCCCACTGTGGAAAAATATGACCCTTGCAAAAACCTAAAAAGGGGTTAAACAAAGGGCAGCACGCGCGGTCCTCAGGGTGGTGGCCTGTGTCCGAAGTCCATCTCACGTCTGGTCCCAAACGTACAAAACACTCGTTACTCTGACTACGTTATGAGCACATCTATCTTGTCTGTAAGTTGCCATTCTCTGCTAGTTGGCCGTTTCTTCACCACAAAATAACTGAAAAATGGGTCAAAAGAAAATAAATTCTTTCTGATTTCTCTTCTCCTATGTTCTTGCTCCTCGTGTTTTGTCACATAATTTTCACCCTTCCTTCGTTGTCTTTTTCAGTGTAGTTTTCGAATTTGTTCGTTTCTTTTTCTTTGTGTACGACCTGCTGTTTTAAACTAAGTGATGATGATGTTGATTGTGTTTATTGCTGTACTCAGGTAGGAAAGTAAATCTACACCGTTAAGTTATGTAAGCTTCTGTTTTGTGGGTATTTGTTTAATTTAAATTTCTTGAGCAGCTAATATGCAGTATGTTGTTAACTTGTGTAATGGCAACCAGGTCACGTAAAATGATTACATCTGGAGCAATTTTGAAGTGCAAGTGCGCTGTCGACAGCTCTGTGTGCGGGATTATTGGGTTGCCAAAAGTAATACACAAGTTTTCTAGTCGACGATCCACGGCACAACGCCATTGGTACCTCGCCAGATCCCGGTAGACAAAATAACATGGGATTATTACTTGGAATTGCTGAGTTCCCTATATAAGGGACCAGTGTCACTAGCTACAGTGATTGAAAACTCCCACACAAAATGCTACCATTACATCCAAGTTTTGCTTTTACAGGGTGGCGTTTAGAGGTAAACACAGTGTTTTAGTTGAGAAAAGATTGTTCCCGTAACCCGTGACTGGTTAGTTTGCATTTTATGTACATAGAAAAATGCCTACATCTCTATGGCCCCGATCTCCGAGCAGATGTAAGGATTACGAGCGTTTTTTTTTATTGCAACCTCCAGTACGTATGTCTTTTTACAGTAGTGCGCCTGTTTAACTATTCGCCGGCTTCTGTGGGTAGCCCCAAGAAAGTGCGCACCACGTGCACCATACTAGAGATGGACGTTGAAATGGTAGGTATCAAAAATCTCTATAATCTGCTAGATGATATACTGTACACCCTCTGAAACAAGGACACGGATATACATGTATATATGCTTCACACTTTACTTGTTTCTAGTTTTGTCCAGATACAAAGGAGTAATATAAATAGAAGACATAGATTCAAGTTCAAGGCCTAGTAACAAATCGTGACAATACCTGTTTCTTAGCGTTTTCTTCGGTCAAGTTGGTCTGGTAGTTCCAGCCAGCGATGACGGCCCGGTTCTGTAGTTCCTTCGCCCGTGTGTCGTATTCTTCCAGAAATATCACTCCCTCGGATTCGTTCTTCTTCTGACAGTGAGTTGGGACGGAAAAAAGAACGATAAGCACGATACCGTATGGGACAAAACGCGCCATATTTTTTCGTAGCCTCGGACCAGCAGGGGCAGTGCTTGTAATGTTAACGCCCAAAATGAAAGATGACCTAGCGTTTGTTCAAAGGGTACAAGGATACTCCCTTTAATTTGGTCACGTGCTAGCTTGTTACTCGAAGAAGTTATTTAATGATATCGGACCTAATAAACCGCAACGATGAGTTTGATTTTTTGTCGCCTTTAGTCGACAGTTTTGCACTTACGTATATATATACTTGTTTTGAGCATATAGTTTTGCGTTCGTGCATTCAAAGTTTGTGCACTCATGTTTGGCAACGTAACGGTTAATGATTGATATTAAATTCTATTTTTGATGCCGCGCTCTCTCAAATTTAAAACGAATAACCGTTACAGTGTGTAAAAAAATAATAGTGATCGGTCGGCTGCAGCGGAGGTTATATAGTTAAGTTATTATGTTTAGACAAATGCTATATTTTCATCGAGGGGAAATAGAAAATATGATTTGAAATCCTCTATCTGGTACACATAAAAGTACAGTATTTAGTTAGACATTCTGATAATGAATTTCCGCGTGCTCCACGATGGTTGATTAACTCCAATCGCATTTTAATGCGTTTAAAATATAAAAACTCCTACCGAGTGCCTAGTTGAGCTCTACGGCGGAGAGCTCCTACACGGGCCCCGCACTGGGAGCCCACCCCATCGACGGTAAACTGGATACCAGACTATACTAGCTGATCTGCTTGAATTTGAAATGAAGGGAATGAAGGTCACTCCAAATAAACTAGATAACAGCGTGTCATTAACTGCCACGTACTCGGTAACGTTAATGGTGCTCAAAAATCAATAATCTTCTTTCTCAAGTGGCTCATTTAGACTGTCATTTTGACGGTGATCTTTTTTTTTTAGGAGTACAGTAAGGTCCAACATTTGGGACGATTTAATGACGGACCAATTAGGATTGAAAGGAATGGCTATGCGAGCTTGTATGAAAGGAAGGCCCAAAGCTGAGAGATACGCGAATGTCCGACAACAAAATTGCACATGACAGTGACCGGTCACTCATCGGATTAAATAGCATATTCTTCAATAGATAAAGGAAGAAAGAACTCACACAAACCAAAGTTGAAATCGAAGAAAGACAACTTCAAGTATGATAAAATATTTCTCAAGAAATCAATAACGTTACATGTGTGTAAATAATTATGCTGCGAACTTCCCCCAAAGTATAATGGGACATCCTGAAACTCCCACGTTGCACTGCGAACCACCTGATGACAACATGGCGGCAGGTTTGTGATGTGTGCAGACTTCGGGCCAGTTTTAAACGTTATGACGGGCTGTAGCAGGTTCACGGGCACAGGTGAGTGTACAGAAATAACGGCATACCATCTTTGATACTGCTGTGTAAAGGGGATGCTCGTTAAGCCGTGTATGAGTTAGTAACGCCACTATATGTGCAGTGGCATGCTCCGACAAGCTTTGGGTTCATGATTTTATGATTTTCATAATTTGTACGGTTGCGTCAGCAGCTAGCAGGGTTGGAAAATCTAACTCTGCAAACCAAGCTGTCTGCTCATTTGATTTTTTTTATGAAGGACAGGTGCGTGGGGAACCAATGGGCTTTACACACGTGTCAGTCGCGTGTGGGAGGGGGTTTAGTAGAAATTCATTATGACTGTGATTGATGCACACATGTGGTACCTAGTCTCCAAGCAGATCGTATGAAGATCATAATGTTTGACGACTGTCAAACTTCTATGTCAATGATCAGTCTATACCCCAAAGACGACTGTCAGAGAAGCCAGGCAGTCAGAAAACCAATCCACCCCAACATCTGCTTGGAGATCACATGATAGTGATACCATGATCTTGTGACCCAGGGTTGAAGATTTGGGTCACCTGGTGCTGATATCCCAGTGTTACAGTGTCCCAGGTCTACACGTAAATCAACACTTGGACTCCCTTCACGTACATGTAGCATAGCACACATCAAGCATGGCTGTTTTTGTTTACATCAATTATTGGTAGGGTCCGTAGGATATGCAACTCATTTGTAAACAGATCACCAAACTACATGTGCAACCCACTATTTGCCTACCACTGCTTGGTCACAAGTTGGTGTGATGTCATGGTGACCATGTACGAACTCAGACTCTCTTTTTTGTTCTCTTGCCCTATGCTGCAAGGGATTAATCAATAGTTATCGATAACTGGCATACTAGAAATTGTATTATTACAACTTGGTGCCATTGGTTGTTCCACCTTAAATTTTGCCAATATCATAGATCTTTGGTTTTGCTTCCAATTTATTTATTTATGATTGTTTGATACATTGACCGAAGGTAAACTCTTCACCTTAAAATACCTTGCACTATATTACATCCATAAGGCTTTGTCATGCTTTAGTGCATTATGATCAATTTAATGATTTCTTTGACTGCTGTGCTGCTGCAATCATCTGAGGAGTTGATATCATTACAGAAATCCTTGTTATTACAGAACATGCCATACCAATTTGTCATGATCATTTCTCATATACACCTCTGCTTGATTAGATTAAAGAAACGTGCAACTTCCCAAAACAGCCACGGTTCATTGAATTCCCCCAAAACGCTGAGGCTGAACTTCATTATCTATCAATAAACACAATCAGTGAATTATATAGTCCCAGATCGCTACCCTCAGTGCCCCTGGACTTGATCTCATCTTAAGATCTATGAGCTACCGCCCGTTTTGCGACCATTGTCATTCCTCATTCCCTTCCGGGGGGACGAGAAGTACGTACATGAATCGTTTACGGATCAGGGGTTGTTCCTATTGAATGGAAGTTGTACAAGATTTACACTGCTAACGTATGGATTGCTCTGGATGTAAGCCTCAGGGCCTAATGATTTTTACAGCAGGTCGACCCAATATCAGAACCGGCCGACTTATGAATCTTTAGCATGGGCTAAGCTGAAAATATGACTACCGGGCAATACTGGGTACCTGTCTAAGGTTTTAAATCTACATCTGAGCACCTCAATCTAAATCCAAAGGTTTTAATTGCAGACATACATCATGTATGTCACTGTATTTGTATAAGTTCATATTATCTTTACATGATTGCATGGTAAGTAGCAAATAGGCTAAAAGTGATAAAAATGAAAATGATTAGTTTGCCTCAAGTGAAATGCAACTCCACTGTATGAATATTGAAAGATATTCTATTATTCTATATTCTAATTACTATAACAATGATTTTATTATTTTCCTGACACTTAGGTGTTAAAAATATGATATATACTGTACTATACATTTAACATCTTTACATATGTAAACCTACAATGAATTAGGTGCACAGCTCTAAATTTGGGTGCACTAAGGTGCACATGCACCCAGTATTTTGAATTTGAGGCAGAGCCCTGTAAGAGAAGAAAAAAATTGCAAACTATTATTCATGACTTATTGTGATATCCTGATGTCATATATTCAAGGAATTATAAGCATAATTAAGTAAGAAAATCAAGAAATTTATCAGAAGTTTGTGATTTTGAATTGAAATGCTTTGGCGATAGGAAACAATATCTAATGATTTGTGTAATAACTGTATGTTTTGAATTCAAAATCAAATATGACAGTTGAAAAGCCACGCTGTCCCAGGTGATTAAAAATTGCCACTATACCAAGGCAGACATTTACATGCATGTCAACCCCCTCCTTTGATGTAATAATCCCCCATCATCGCACCGGTATGGAAACATATTGGTTTTCCACTCTCCGACAAGTGGCACCATGCTCAGAACTGTCAGTCTTAATTACTACATAAGGGATAACTCTAATACCCAACCAAGGCCCAGGAGAGGCTTTCCAATAGAGCTGTCAGAGTGGTGATAGATAGACAGGCTGCTCTTCAAAGTAACTACATGGGGCCTGGAAGGAATATTCCCATCTCGCATGTCTGTTGAACTAAGTAAAGAATTATCCCAAGGTGATTGGAATTTTCCTTGGAAGAAGTTCTGTGTTGAGTGTGTGTGTGT